GATAGCTCGACGTGACATTGCATTATCACCAAAAGCTACATGCAACTACCGATGAGTTTCACGGTAGTTGCATGTAGTTACATCTTTTCATCTACAAAAAACAAATCACTGAACGTATTTTCGATTTGAAATCCACTTGCAGCTACCCAGACATGCTTACAACTGATTATCAGACAAACTAAAATTGCCTCATGAAAGCCGCTACGTCACACGCTACAGCTAAATGTCTGAAGTGTTGCCAGACAGTTTCATCAAAATAGCAGTTGACAGAAAATTTTTACAAAGGGGTGCAACTAACTTTCTGAGTGACCTACGTACGTTTTTTTTAATGACCATTTCACAAGTGAAAGGGTATGAACTACCTCCCTGATAAAGCAGAAATATTTTTAAACAAGTTTCTATAGAAAGAATTTAGATTACTTCAGGCGGGCTTAAAAAGAAAGTAAGGGTTGGTTTCTCGGTCAGTCTTCCCAATTAAATAGCCTAGACATCGGAACTTGATCGCATTTTATGGTCTCTGATCCATGACATTAGACTATTGCATTCGACCGGAAAGTCTTTATATTTGTGCTTTTATAAGTATATTTCCATGATATGTGATTAAAAATGCATTTTTAAGGATTAATTTGTTATTTATTATAGGAAATTATATCATGGGCCAGTGGTTTAAGAGAATGCATATTATTTTATTTATTTTTTCATGTGTGAGTTAATATTTTCATATTTACTTCAAGTTATGATGTATGCATTATACGAGATTATTTCTTCATATGAATAATATACACCTTCAGTTGTCATTATGAGTACGGAAACAAAAAATCGCGTATCTCACTGGCGAACTACTTGTATTTCTAAAATGTCAGAGATATATGAAAACGAATAAAAACAGAAATTCTAAAAATTTGTAAGTTTCAAGTTCTTGAAGCAAGATGGAAAGAAATCTGTTTAAAGACATTTCTTTCTCTGCTTTATCTGAAATAGCAATTAGTAGATTTCTTGTGGACCTAAGATTTTAAACCTGTATTAAAAGGCTGTTTTCACAGAGCATGAAAACCTCCTTAACGAGAGGAAGATATTCAAATATGTGAGCATGCTTTGCTAGGAATGAGGGAACTTTTTTCTTTGAAAAGCCATGAGTCGTTAAACAAAATATTGTTCATTTGCATACAGATAATATAATGTGTAGTATATATATATATACATATATCTGATATATATATATATATATTATATTATCTGATATATATAATTAACATATATTATCTGATATATATATATAATATATATATATATACTATATTGTCAAAAATTACTTTAAGAAAAGGATCTCTACCTTACGTGTAAAATATGGCATTAGGACTTCTTTTATAAATTAAGTTAATACAGCGAATGCTTATAAGCATAATTATTGGACATGTTATTAAATATGCTTAAAATTGTTTCGGTTAGATTAATTAGTAAAATAAACCAATGTTAACTATCAAGACGTTGATCACCGTTGCTTATGGAAGTGAGGTAGCGCAATAAATTTAGATAGATTATTAAAACAGAATTAAACGAAATCACGTCGATAATCAACTGTTTCTTGTCACCGTTATACGGCAGCGCAATAAACACATATAACTCATTAAGTTGCAAATAAACAGAAGGAACCAGTGCATATTAAGATAGTTATTGCTGAGGTGAGATTATGGACAGTGATTTGGGGCAAAGCAGTTTACTTTGAAAATGCGAGAACAATTTTCTGCTTGTGATCACCGAAAATAGCGATGTAATGTCAAGGGCAGAAGGTCGCTTCGGCTCGCCCATAACATGAGATATGAACATAATATTAAGATTTCGGCTCTAGGGCAGAAAAAAAGCGTCTCCTTCTGCTCACTTTACAAGCAATAGAAAGTGGTCCCAGATGGGATATGTTTGAAACTGTTTTAAGACATTATATTCACTTTGCTTATTTCTGCAAAAGAAAAATAAAGCTATGAGAAATTATAGGATGATTTTAGAATCTTCTAAAACCTAGGATCCTGGGCACTACTTTCATGGTTTAGGTGGTACCAAGCATCTATTTTCAGGAGATGTCTTATTTTTCATCCACAATAATAAACATTTGTTCATATTCAAGAAATACATTTCTTTAGATTAAAAAAAGCGTTTATTCAGGTTCGATAAATATTCAGAAATGAACAAAATTATTTATTCTAATACAACCATATCGTATTTTTCTTGACCATCGTCCTAAAGCTCTAAAATTCTGACCTAAATACGAAAATTACGAATGAACAATACAACTCTACTCAAATTAACTCTTCTTGGCTATACAGCCTGCTCACTGGCAATACAGCTGTCCGTTGTTTTATCCCGTACCTTCTTCACTCAAGTAACGACTTCTTGTAGATTAGATTTCACAAAGTTCCTCATTAATTTCTCGCTATTGTATTTTCAACGTGGTCATTGGTTTTCTTACGAAAATAATTTTTAAATGGCTTATTTATTACAATATCAAGAGTTTGGAGATATGCTGTCTTTCCTGAATTTGAATCATTACTTGATTAATTTTTCTTTCTGCAGGGAAATTCTTCATGGTTTTAGGGCGGTGAAGTGCTCAAAAAATCCCACACTAGCATACCTCTTCGGCCACCTCGCAAAACAAGTGGTAGAAATAAATCGATCACTTTCTTATTGCTGCTAGTGTGCACCAAGCGTTTTCAGTCTTAAGAATATAAATACTTGAAACACGTTCGATTGCCTCTTTTTTGCTGTTAGAGATGATTAGAGGGGGAGGTGGTTTCTTTCCATCGAAATGAATTGACAAAATACATGTGATCCGCCTGCGGCAGAGCATAAAATCACTGAACACTGGCATAAAATCACTGAATCACTGAACACTGTCCGGGATTCGAATCCCAGCGAACGGGTTAACTGCACGAACGTTTTCGTGGCTTTCCCCGTGTATAACATGTCTACTATGAAGTTTCCCTTATAAAGTCATCCACTAAGCCATCACTTCCCTTCAGAAGGTAGCCCTCGAGTGCTTTTCCATATTTAAATAAACCAAGCCAAACTAAAATGCATGTAGTGCGTGCTTTTTGGTAACAAGGGGAGGGGATGTATATCACAAAGGCACTGCTCTGTTCAGTGAGACTTTCGACCCATAACTGTAGTTTCATCCATAGCAATCATGTTGGAGAGAAGTCGATGCTATCAATAAAACATTTGAATATAATTTTTCAATTTTGTGTTTAATTATTTCAGTATCTTCCAATTTGAACAGATTTGTAGATCTTCTTAGAGACATATCGCCGAAGGAAGCCATCCACCCACTATTGTGATGCTTTGAATTCCTTTGGCGATATGTCTAGCTGTAGTACCATTGCAAAGCCAAATGCCTGAATATGAGCCTTGCGAACAGCCAAACACTTTGCTCCTTTGTCAGTAATCCATTCACAGATGATGTGTTCCGTTCAGGAAGTAATGGCTGACGATCTGATCCACACTTAGGCATATTAGCATTTCCTTCGTTGACCTATTGACTGAGGTTATTAAACTGTGATCGCCATTTTCGAATCATTCGTAGATCCTACTTCTTCTATTTTCAGAGAGCTGCAAGACTTTATCCCTTAAGTCTTCCATAGTTCCTTTCTTATACTCGACGGAATAGCTCTTTCTTTTTGCATTCGTTTTATCTGAGTATCAAATTGTATTATCCTTTACATTTGAATTACTAAATCAAATGTTAAACAATCTCGTATTGAATCCGTTTGTATCAAATGTGTATGTGTTGTTTCTTCACTTGGCCACTCCTCAATAAGGCACCCGTCTAGCTGCCGTGTATTAAGAGCGCTCGTCTGGCTGACGATTTTAACTAGGGTGTATTTTAGGGATAGGGATTGTATTAGAAGTACTCTGAAAAACAGTGCTAGGACCTATTTTATGATAAAGTTTTATTTTCGAGGCCATATATTAACTGCGCAGGTAAGGAAACTGCTGCTTACCATGCAGAAACGAAAAGTTATTTAACAAAAATTTTCACAGCTACAATATCGTCTAAGACCCATCTTCCAGGTCTTCCTTGCCGATAGACTTCGGAAATTTATATATAATCACCTTCGGACGAATGGATCGAAACTTGCGAGCCCGCACCTTCTCATGTCTAATTGAGTTAACTAAGCTTTCAGCCTCGTCCTCCGAGCGTAATTTAAAAATAGTAACACCGTTTTTACGGATAATAGTACGACGGGGACAGGCTTTAATCTTATCACTCGAAAGACCTTTGGCCAGAACATCGCAAACATTGATACCTGGAGATTTCGGACGGACAATAACTTCATTCCTGCCCCTCTCCACATCACTGTATTCACCTTTGGGCTCTAAGTACTGAGTATTGGAGACCACACGGTCTTTCAAAACCAAAACATCATTGTGGATTTAATCCAGCTTTTCAAGGATCACTTTACCATTGTCGTTATCTTTCTTTGTTGTAACACCAACACCATATATTATTCAATTAGTTCAAAAAAGATTTTCCACATTCACAAGTTTTGAAATGAGTATCAAGTTCAATGAATGGTGGTTAATATCATGGAGTCCACAGCTCTCAAACTCTGATTCCTCGCAAGATCAGTGATCATTTCAAGTTTACTTGAAATGATCACTGAGTACATAGTTACTGTTTCGTAAAATATTTACTAGTAATATCACCAAGGAATTTTTTCCCAATTCGTTTTGATCTTAGGTCATCCACAATGGCAATAGTTTACTTCACAAGAGACATTATAGTTTTTCCACTATTTCGTTGAGATAGATTAATAAATTAAAGGCAGATTTTTCTGAATCTGAAATATTTTAAAACTTATTTTACTCAAATGGAAATGTGTTATATTTTTATAATGCTATCGTTTCTCTCGTTTCTATGCTAATTAATTATTTTTCATTTATTTTTGCATGAAATATTCTTTTTTTGTGGTTGTGTCTCAAACACATAATAACAAACAAGCAGCTTATAGGTTTTTATAAAATAATTTTTATTAGCAGCAAATTGGTTTGGAGAAAGAAAAAAAATGTATATGTGAGCTTGTCCAACCAAAAGTATCACCATCAATACCCGTTGAGTAAATACCAAGGTTTTTTAGAAGCATTTCGTGCCCTTACATACCAAATTTGTGTGACTAGCCCAGTTTGACACAAATTAAATGTGCGGAAGCGTCTTACTGACGAAGTAAAGCACTTATGTAGAATACATTTTCTATAATAAATATAAGCTTTTAGAATAACAGTATCTATTCATTAAACCTGTGAAAAAATATTTCAACTTTTAAGGTTTTATAATATGGGCTTTTAAACTGCGTAAACAATGTCAAAACCATTTTGGAAGAAATTGTGCTCATTTCTACAAAATTGTAGTAATGTATTTTTTTAATAAATTGTAATCAAGTGGTTTCATACGAAAAGGAAGACTTCAGTATGTATGATATACCAGTGTAAAAGTTTTACTTGAGTATGGAAATCAAGAAAAAGTGAACTTACGAAAGAAAACGTTACTGAAACGTTAGTTTGGAAATCAAGGAAAATGGCAGTAAAATATTAAAAGTCTGAAGGCAACCAAAGAGAAAAAAAGACATTGAGTATGATAAAAATAGTGTAGAAGTTTTCTTGAGTATGAAAATCAAGGAAACGGGAGTATGGAAAGCAAGGAAAACGGCAGTTAAAATATTAGAAGTCTGAAGGCAACGAAAGAGAAAGAAAAACAAAAGTAAAAGAAAAAGAAAGAAAAAAGTAAAAGAGAAAGAAAGACAAAAGTAAAAGAAAAGAAAGACAAAAGTAAAAGAAAAAGAAAGACAAAAGTAAAAGAAAAAGAAAGACAAAAGTAAAAGAGAAAGAAAGACAAAAACAAAAAAGATATTAATTAAACACACAATTAAGATGAAACTCGTATGTAAAGGGAGAAGTAGGAGCGAAGAATGGTGAATAAAAGCAATAAATCTGAAAAAACTAGAGCAAAAGGGTTAGAAAATATTACCTTTAGACAAAAAGAAATAGAAGAAAAGTGAAGAATCAGAAGAAGTCTTCAGTAACAAACCTATGAATGGACACTTTTGTAACATAATAATTTTATGGTTTAATATATTTATAATTAACAAAGAGCAAAATCTCTTTTAGGTCGAAGTGTTTCAAAGTGCTTAAACTTCGTCATTCATTAGCTTCCGATTTAAAAGTGATGACCACCATGATAACCACCATGATGATTATGATGAGGTTCGTGATGGTGATGATGAGAGGCTTGAGAATGGATTTTGACATGAGCTGGATCTTCATTGGCTGTTCCGGGTTCGTTGGTTTTGATTTCAGCACGGAACCCACCTTTGTCGGCGACGTAGTGTACTTCACGATGGATTCCTTTATGGTCAACATAACCGTAACTGCCTTTCACTCCTCCATGGCCATCACCGACCTCATGCCTGTATTGGGAACCCTCATGATCTTTCACTTCGTAACCGAACTTATAGGGCTGTGGTGCATGGTGCTGAAAAAGAATACAAAATAAGAGATCTAAAATTTTGTAAAACAGAAAATTTTAACCGAAATCTGCTAGCCATTTAAACTTAAAGTATTTAAATTGCGATATATACTATGAGTTCAATTAAGGGGAATTTGCCCTCCATTGAATTTTTATTAAAATTAAATACTTGAATAATTGAAAAAGGGAACTACATTTAAAAAATTAAACTTTGTTTTTAATAATACTTCCAGCTTTGCAAGTGAAAGTCATTTTTTTTTTCTTCCGCTTTATTTCAACAGCGACTAAGAAGATAAATGTTACGTTCAAAGTATGAAGACGATGTGAATTATTTTGCTAAGTACTATAGGGAAAGGTGCTCATATTTTTTAACACCGTTCTTTCTTTGTATGACCTTTCTCTGCGTGATTGAAATTCTCTCCTTCTTTTGTTTGTTTATATTTGTCTTTAAGAGGAATGTTTTATGAATTTGGCCTTAACGTTACTGATATTAAAGATTGTAAGTTAGTGTTGTTTTTAATGCAGAAAATACTAACACGGCTGAATAAAGTAAAGTTCATTGTTTCAAGCAAGAAATTTGATATGGTGAAAATTGCTTAAGCCAAACAAATTGTTTGTTGAATTAGCTTAATAACTCGTTTAGTATTTAATTTCTACATAACTACTTCAATAAAACTATATATAAGAACGCAAAGTTACACGTCTGTGTTGTAATCCCTTGAGAGTTCAGTATTGTTGCTTGTACGGAAGTAAAGGATTTTGTGCTAGTTAATGATTTTAATTAATTTTAAACAGGTTTTCAATAAGTTTTAATGAAAATGAATTGAGACATTCGTGACAAACGTATAAAATTCATTTTTTGTAAAGGTACTCAATACTACTGAATGTGATATAACAATTTAGAGGCAACTCTTTCTGTCATTATAGTTATAATATGAAATGTAAGTATCATTGTAAAACGCTTTGCTGACTAAAACGTCTATTTATTGATTTTGTTTCTGCATTACAAGTGAATAAAGAATATTCAAAAGAACTATAGACGTTTATGTGGACGTTACCTGATTCCCTAAATGACTAGATGTTTTATTTGCTTGCGCGAAAGGCAGCTTTATAATTTATTTTACGTATAATTCTTCTTAATGCCGAATTTTTCCTTTAGAATTAATTTAAAATAATATTTTTAAAACTTCTTATTGTCCCTCTAGTATGAAATAAAAAAAAATTAAACCTCTTTTTCAACTTTACTGTAATAATGTAAGGACAAAAGAAAACTTCATCTTTTTACGAAACATGCTTGCAATTTACCTTTCGATTTATTTTAAAGCGTTTCCGACAGTTGATATCGAAATAAGTCTTCTATTTCCGTTATTTGAATTTCAACTATGTTTCCTGAATTAAACTATTTCCCATGTCTCATATATTTAAATATACTTCTAAATTATTAGATTACTGTAGTTTAGAAAGGAAAAATTCAGATTTGGTATTCTATTTTAATAGAAATAACTTAAGGTTAGTTATTGTAAATTAAGAAATGAACATATTTCTCCCCTTAATAAAATTTTAAATTTAGCGCCACGAATCTTATTAAAAAAATGCTTCTCTATATTTAAAAAATTACATTTCCGTATTTTTTCAATATATAAAAAAACCGTATTATTTTTCAGTGGGATAAAAAAATTCAATTTCGGTTGACAATTTCATCACTTTTTTATAACACTGAACATACATTTTTTGAATGTTTAACAATTTAACTTAATTAAAATTAAATCATTCTTAGGGAAAAAAAAACTAGATTCTGAATTGCAAATCGTACCTCATAATGCTCCTGGTGGTAATGGCTGGCATAAATAACTGCAAACAAGCAAAATCCGATGGCTGCCTGTAGGATATAAATAGAAAGAATTTAAAGTTAAAATTTCACTTAGTTCTATGTTTGATCTTAAAGATCAAAGGATTATCACAGTAATAAACATAATATTAGAAATAAAAGGAGAATATGTATAATGCAAATATCATTGGAATTAAACAACTGATTGAAAGTAAGTATTGCTGCTCCCTGAAACAATGTGTGTATTTCAAAGCAATCAGATATATTATTTGTGAGATTTTTCATTTTTCTTCCATGACCCACCTCCCCTTTCCTATCGGCAAAGTAACATAAACGTCCCTATAAATCCTGTCGTTCTACAGACCGGATTGTTCTTTCTGTACTGTTGTGTTAAAGTTAAGGGGTCTTTTTCTGTTTGACCGCCTCTTGTCCTTCTTTTTTATCTTTCATGTTCCCCTGTGCCGTAATACCGTGATTTTCAAATGGGCTCCCCTTAGAAATCGTCTTTTCCACTTCTCCTAATCTAATATTCCCCGACCGCTTCTGCATCTCGTCCCCTATCTTTCCGGCCTTATTCCGATCCGCAGTGTCTTTCGGTCTTCTTTGCCATACTTTTAGTGATATATTCTTTCGCTCTCTCTCAATATAATATGTTTCTGGTTGGACTCTATTTTGTATTTTGTAAAACTTACAAATTTTTGATGAACGATTTGAAAGCGAGCATGGCAACACTTTTTGAAATAAAGCATTTTTATCTCCTCGCGACACTGTTGCCATAAAAAAAAAGTAAGTGCAAAAATTAGCGTTTTCAGAATATTTAATTCATATCTCAGCTGTCTAAAGTTGTACGAAGATGAGAATAGTCGAAATGGCTTCCCACGAAGTTTTGGAATCCGAGGGTACTTTTCTCGAAACTCAACTCCCCGTTTTTCGGAGGAGATGATGTTACAAACAAACAAAAAGACAGACGCTCACAGATTTTAATAGTCTCTAAATTTTAATAGTGACTGATTTTAATAGGAGATTGTCATCTCCTAGTCAGCAAATGAAAATGATGAAGTGAATTCATATATGCAGTGCACCTTAAGACATGCCATACGGTGCAAATAAAGACATGTTCAAATACACAATGCAGCATTTTCAGACATTGTCTTTTGCTGTTTAGGATAATTAAATACAATTTGAACCTAATCAATAATTTCTAATTTGTGAAATAGTATTTAAGAGGAGTACGCTGAATATTTTTAGATTAAAAGTATTTAATTAAGGAAAAACAAATTGGTAGAAAATAATATATTCTGCTGTATTAAAATTAAATGTTTCTATAATATCTCGCCATAAAGTTAAAAAAAGGCTCAATGCTTGCAATCCTACTTCTTAAAATATAAATAAATGCTTTTAGATTGTTTTAAAACTAATTCTTAATTGCAGAAAAATATTTAGGTTTAACTGTTAATATGTATTCACAATAAAATCGATTGTAAAGCCAAACTGGCAAGTGCGAAAGAGCATCGAATTTCGTAAACCTCAATGCTTTGTACTTAACAGTTTCGAAGATATTCTTTGAAAAACTCATTTTCATGAATTTTCAGTTTTTGATCTAATTTTTGAATCATACTACAGGAATCGATAAATTTTAATGTATATTTGCATCAAACCATTGATTAAAACATATCATACATTCATCATTTTTTCTCTTACAGTTAAAAAGAGGAAGAGGAAAACTTTAAAATCCGACTTTCGAAATATTCATTGTTGCACTTTTTTTTTCTCTAAAATTATATTATTCTTAAGTTTTTTTCCAGTTTTTAACATATTTTCCTAAAAATGTTTCCGTTTAACAAAACATCAGTTTTTTTATTTGTATTCTGCTATTTATACATTATATTCTAAACTACTTATGCGTAGAATAATTTTTTATTGAATATGCATTGCATAATCTTAAATGTTCCGAGCTCATAACATTCGATTGTTTTGTCTCTTATTAAAATTCTGTCATAGAATGCAATAAAACAGTTATGAGTAATTATTTGATAACGTTAGGCCGAATTCAATTTTACTTTTATTTAATACGTAAAATTCACATCATTGGTTATGCAACGCCAGCAGGGACTTTGCATGTTACTTCTAAGGGATGAACGGGATGAAAAAAAAAAGTTGGTAAAGAAAACCATCATAGAAATTCTATTCTAGAGGGGGATTTGTAGCTTAGTGATGCTTTTTATACACAAATGAAATGTTGTTGTGTAAAAAGCAGCAGTTCATAGACAGTGGTTTGGTTTATTTAATTACAGCGAAGCACGTGAGGGATGTCTTCTGAAGGGAAGGGATGCCTTCATGGAGGACTTTCTAAAGGGTACTGGATCGTATACACATTACACATTCAAAAAACCACAAAAACGTTCATGCAGACAAGTCAGTTCGCCGGAAGGCGAACCCTGGAACGAACTACGAGTGGTTAGCTCTGGGCTGCTAATGGGCTTTTTATATATAATAATGGAAAAAGTATTGCAGATTAACATTTACAACATAACGTGTTATTTGCAACATAACGTAATTCTTTCATTGATAAACATAAAAACTTTTATTGATATTCGTACATGTTAAAAATCTTTGATTATTATATGGAAATTTTTATGAATTAACAGACATAATATAAATATTTCATAAAGTCCTTTTATTAAAAAAATTATTATATTTTTATGAACTTAGGCGAAGCTTGCGGACCGCATAGAACTGCTTGAAAATCGTATTGGAATTATTTATAATAATTTATTAAATAATCTCTCATTAATTGCCTAATATTAATTGTAAATGCACAGTCGCACAGCAAAGAAACAGTATCATATTATAGTATCAAAATTTCTTTTTCACGTCTAATGCAAAACTGAATAAAGAAAGTTTTATGATCTTTTATTAGAATAAATATTTTGCACAAATTTCTCTATCTAACGATGTTTTAAGTTGCAGATTGATAAATTCTTCAAAACTGTAGATTTGAAAATTAATTACCGTCAAATTTTATTAAATTTAACATTAACAAATCAACAGAAAAATTTAATTACAAATAAATTTATGAAACAAAAAGCTAGTTTTATCGATGGATTTCTAAATAATACTTGAAAATTTTTTTAAATAAATAGCATTTTATCATAAAATTTTAGATTAAACAAGAAATGTTTTTAGTGCTTACAGAATATACTTATGCTGATATTTTTGCATTCTGAAGGTATTACATAAAAGCAAGCATGAAAATAATACTGAAAAAAAAAAAAAGGTTTAAAAATTTGCTTCTTAAATGTTAATAGTTCAATTCAATTCTAAAAACTGAATTTATTTTCACATCCACTTTGTGATTTCCTGCATTAACTAATTTTTGTCTTGCATCTTGTTTATAAAGTTGGGTCATAAATATTTTCTTATAGCATAAATAAATATCATGCAAACTTAAAATAAAAAATAATTATTTAAAATTATTTAATTAAATATTTATTTTAAATACAGCTTAATTCAAAATAACAATTTAATGAAATAATTCAGAAAATTTCACTATCTATGCTGCTTACCTGAAAATGCATGTTTAGGTTGACTAGTGCTTGTTTCCTTTCACTTTCTGAGAAGGTTAGTTGCTTGTGATATTTCGATATGTCTAAGATTTGGATCAACACCTGCTTTTATACTAACACAGATTTAAATATCTAGAGAGCGGTACTTAGCGCACCTAGGCTCTTAGCTGAGAGCAAATCCAGATTTTGGATCGTTACGGGTCAGTTCCTTCTACCGGTTCCTTTCACTGTTAAGGCATCTCCGCATGAATGGGTGCCCCGGGTAAAAGTGATATAAGTCATTTGGTGAAATTCCAAGAAAAATATGCATTTGTTCTACTGCCGCATGTATACACTATAGGTTTCGTTAAAATATTTGTTCAATGAAAAATCTTCATT